GTGTGTGTGTGTGTGTGTGTGTGACTGTATTGTTGGGTGTGCAACCAGCTAGGCAAATAATCTTTTTAACATAAAAACATATCAAATCCCAGAATTGATCAGATTTTTATTAGAATTCGAAGCCAATTTGGTTCATAAGAGAAATCCATTTGTTACGAAGAAAGGCATTTGTGAATGTTCTGCAAATGTTTATCTAGTCACAAGTTAAGAGTCATTTTTAACAATCAAAATCTGAAAACGTCTTTCATTACAAGGCACATACACACACGCATAAGTGTGTATTATATATATATATATATATATATATATATATATATATATATATATATATATATATTATAAAATTAACTGATTTAAAATATGTTTTTACGCTACACAGTAACAACCAGGTTTCAAAAAGTGAAGCTAAAAACTTCAAATCTAATTTAATATAATTATTTATATAATTAGATTTGAAGTTTTTGCTTCACTTTTTGAAATATGGTTATCACTGTGTAGCGAAAAAAAACAATATTTTAAATCAGTTAATTTATAATATTTGTGCTCTTTAAAATTACACTGAGCACTATTTTTGTAAAAATAAAAATAAAAAATATCAATAAGAAGACGGGATTATATATCTTACTGTTCTTTATATATATATATATATATATATATATATATATGGATCATGTCTCATATATGATATATGGATCATATATATGATAATTCAAAGCTCTTCTATGAATAAATCATTCTGAGACTCTGGCGTGTTTATTTAAAAATAAATTGGTAAAAATTCACCTTCCTCTCTGCCAGGAGCTTACACTTTAGGGGAGAAATCTCCGACTGAAAATGTGTGTCTGAAAATTTTAATTTTTTGATACTTTTTATTGTTCAAATCATATATACACACCAGGTCAAAATCTTAAAACCAGATACTAAAGTGTTAAAAAAATATAAAATACTATTACTTTAATCAAAATATATTTGCGAAACATTTACATTTAATTAGAAAATGTAGTTTATCAACAAACAAGTGAAAATTTTAAGAATTTAAATTTAAAATTTTTAAAATTTTAATTGATTAATTTAAAAAAAAAACATTGAAAAAAGGATAAGATCATGTGTGAAAAAAATTACTGGACAAAAATTTTAGAACTAGTAAGTGTGCTCATAGCTTCAGGCGTGTCGACATCTACGGAACTCATTGCCACTATTAAATTTCAGATTTGAAAATGGCTAAAATTTTAACAAAGTTCGAACAGGGCAGGATTGTTGAATTTCAAAGACGTGGTCTTTCGCAACGAGTCATTGCAAATGAAATTAGCCGTAGCAGAAATGTCATTGCTAACTTCATTAAAAATCCGGGTGCGTATGCTTCTAAAAAATCAAGCGGTTGGCCTAATAAAATCTCACCATCTCGAGACAGATGCATTAGGCGAGAATTTAAGAGAGATTCAAGCCTAACATCAAATCAGATAAAAGCGAATACAGATGCTGAATACAGCTCTTGAACAATTCGACGGCATTTAAATAAGAAAGGGTTTAAAACTTAAAACGGATGAGGAGGGCTCGCCTTCTTCTTCGCCATAAAACCTCCCGTTTACAATTTGCTTCCGATTATCAAACTTGGGTTGTGGATAAATGGAAGAAAGTGTTGTTTTTAGACGAGAAAAAAAATCAATCTTGATGGCCCAGACCGTTTTCAGCGTTACTGGCATGCAAAAGATGTCCCAAAAGAAATTTTCTCGACACAACAGAGTGGAGATGGATCAATTATGGTCTGGTTTCATTTTAGTACAATGGAACTCTTGAGTTACAGGAGGTAAAAACAGCTTCTAGTTACATTGACATGTTAAGAAAGGCATGGCTAATTACTGAAGGCCCTCGTATATGTGGAGAAAACTGGATTTTCCAGCAGTACAATGCTGCAATCCACAACGCTCTTCAGATCGAAATCCAATCGAGAATGTTTAAGGATGCATGACAAAGAACGTTTATAAACATGGATCGCAATTTGAAACTGTGCATGTTCTTCATGCTGCAGTTTCTGCATCTTGAGCGAGCATCCCAAGCACCTACATGCAGAAGTTAATAATGAGTATACCAAAGTGAACTTTCGAAGTAATTCCCCAAAATGGAGGTTATACTGAGAATTAAATTGTCGTTTTGACTTATTTGTTCTGTATTTGCTATTTTTATTTACATGGTCTTATCTTTATGACCAACCAAAAAATCCTTTTATCAATGTTTGCTGAAATTAAACAATTAAAAGCTTAAACTGTTCACTTGTTTGTTGATAAACTACATTTTCTAATTAAATGTAAATGTTTCGCGAATATATTTCTGCTTAAAGTAACAGCATTTTACATTTTTTAACCCTTTTTGTATCTGGTCTTAAGATTTTGACCAGGAGTGTATACACACATTATACATTCATTCATTCATATATATATATATATATATATATATATATATATATATATATATATATATATATATATAATTAATATGTATAATAATTATATGTCTTATCTATAATATGTAATATGTACAATAATATGTTTATTAATTGTATATGTATATATATATATATATATATATATATATATATATATATATATATATATTTCACTGAATACGACAGACAAGTTGCTTTTATTTAGCTTTTTTATAAAATTTCTCATGCGATCTAATAAGTTTCTTTTTTCTTTTCGGATGATAAATTATATAAAAACTGTCCGAATATTCTTTTTATTTCGCTTTCGGCTATACCTTTAGCCATTTTCATGGATTAAATATTTTAACTGTTAAATAAGAAATAGTTTGTTGTATGTATGTTTTATAAAATGTTTTCATTTTCCAAAACATAGTCGATATATTGTGAAAATTTTTTTGATCGCATGAGAAATTGTATAAAAAATTAAATAAAAGCACCTCGTCTATCGTATTCAATGAAATTTGCATGAAAGAAGGATTGCTGCCTAAATACACAAATATATATATATATATATATATATATATATATATATATATATATATATATATTATTGTTTAGTTACGAAAAGCTTGGTAAACCGTGTGGGTAGTCCCAAGGAGGATGAAATCCTGAGAGCTCAATGTAAATTCAGTTCTAATAACCGATTAAATAGGTCAATGTCTGCTCCCTCCTTCCTCAATACTAAGTATGATAGAAAGAAATATTAAAATAAACCCTCTCTAAATTCGACCATGTCTCTCACACCACTCCTCGCTACCCTCTCTGTTAAATTACATAAACTTAATACTACCCGTCAAAAATGTAAATTTTCATTTCATTTCGTTTCACCTTTTGGAAGTGATGTCTGATGATCGAGAGTCCTTTAAAAGGCCTCTGGTGAAATAAACTATTACAATGGGGCCTTAAAGTGGTCTGTTTTTTTAATATTAATATATATATATATATATATATATATATATATATATATATATATATATATAATATATATATTTAATTATAATTTCATCAAATAGACAAAACCATTTTACTCACTACAAAGATGCAACTTGGTTTCAGTGCATTTCAATTACACTTCGACGGGTGAGAATCGAAAATGGTTATGAACAATCCTGCTTGTAGACAAGCCGTATGATTATCGCTCTACTGTCGGTATCGAGGCGTCTTTTGGATTAATGCTACGAACGTTGGAATTTATATATTACTTTTGTTTTCATCGCATCGTACATATATATATATATATATATATATATATATATATATATATATATGTATTTAAATAAAAAGAAAGAACAGTAAGATATATAATCCGGTGTTCTTATAGATATTTTTAATTTTATTTTTATAATTTAATTGCAAAATTAAATTCGTGGCTTTTAGCTTCCATTTTTGAAACATGGTTAGAACTGTGTAGCGGAAAAAACATATTTTAAATCAATTAATTTATAATATATATATATGCATCTATTGTATACATATAACCGTTGCGGGCGTTTTTCGATACAGTATGGAATTCATATAATTTCGTAGAATCATCATTCAGTCATCAGATGAATCATTCTGTCTTTCTCTGAATAAACTTTCAGGGTAATAAATTGCGTTTCCCACCATAAAAGATGGATTCCAGATTCGAAAAAATATGAATGCTTTTGAAACTTTGCATTACTCATTTTCTCGGAACTGTTGACAAGGCGTGAGTGAAGCAATAATTAATGCCACAAGCTAGAATATGGTTGGTTCCACAGACTTCTAACATTATGGCGTTATCTCCCTGACATATTAATGTTATAATTCGGACTCAGGTGTCAGAGCAAAATGAGTGTTCTATCCACTCGTGTCCATATATCGCTCTCCCCCCTCCGACACACACACAGACACACATATATATATATATTAGATGGCCTGAAGTTTGCGTTCAAACATGAAACAGACTGTTTAATTGATGATGACCTCTATAGAGCATTTTAAAACCTGTTATATAACGTACCTATTAACACTAATTGATATGTCCCAATCCTTATAAATACAATAGACACTATTGTAAGTGGGGGTAATATGCAGTCTAAGTAGTCCACCACTAGTAGGGGTTTACCTACTTCACGCCGCTGGCGAGTGTTGTATTTTGTTGATGTTATAAAGATTATCATTTCATTTCCAACCACCGGTTTTGTTATTCTTCATTCAGTAACATTTTCCAGGTTACAACAGATAGATAGATAGATAGATAGATAGATAGATAGATAGATAGATAGAATATGAACTGAGATATAGTTATATACCGTATCTATGAACACTAATGGGTATGTCCCAATCCTCATAAATACGTTGGACACTATTGTAATTGGGGTTAATATGTTGTCTAAGTAGTCCACCACTAGTAGGGGTTTACCTACTACACGCCGCTGGCGAGTATTGCATTTTGTCAATGTTATAAAGATTATCATTTTCATTTCGAACCTCCGTTTACGTTATTCATCTTTCAGTAACCTTTTCTAGGTTAGAACAAAACCCATTAATATAGCATACCTTAAAACTATATTTTATCATATCTATCTATCTATCTATCTATCTATCTATCTATCTATCTATCTATCTATCTATCTATACAAATCTATGTATGTATGTGTCTATTTATCTCACCCTATTGAAATCTATCTATCTATCTATCTATCTATCTATCTATCTATCTATCTATCTATCTATCTATCCCAGTCTGTACATCATCATCATCATCTTGCGGCCTCAGCCGAGATTGAACTCACTATAACGGGAGTGCCACTAGCACGCGAGGGGTTACAGAGAGTGAGAGCAAGAGGCATGAAAGAGGAAAGGATGAAGAGAAGGAAGGTGAATAGATTAGGCCATCTGGAGATGTCAATTGACATTGCATTTAAATATTGGAGATTATAGCTCTCAGGGAACCATGCGGAAGGGATTTCCACAGACAGGATGTGCGAGACATGAAGCTATTGGAGTAGAAGAGACGGCTACATTTAACCATTTCGACAACGAATGGGTAGGACCGAAATGCCGACATAGTGGCACGTTTAAATTCATGTAATTTGGGAACTAGCGAAAATAGCTCGTCTGTGAAAGTATTTGTAGAAAAGACAGAGGGAGGCGCTAGCACGTCTGTGAGAGAGCGGCTGTAAACGAGATGCCAGATCAGGACCAAACACATTGCATATCCGTCTCTGGGTTTTGTCGAGGACCCTAAGACGAACAGCGAGACTCTAGACCATATATGACAGCAACATTCCATGCCAGGGCGAATGGTTGATTTATAGATTTGAAGGATTTCTGGCGCGACATAGAGAACCAAATTGCCTTGCGGTAGTTGAAGACATTGATTCAATATAATTGTTCCATCTCAGGTCAGCGGACAATGTGAGACCAAGCAGTCGCAAAGAGGTACCCTCGTGAAGTTGAGCAACAGACATTGTAATGGAAGACAGGGAGGGTTCTCTTTGGTGGGTCATAGAGAGCAGTTTTGTTTTTGAGGCATTAAAGTTAATCAGCCATTTCCTGCACCAGTCAACAAATAATTGGAGGTCTTTTCGAGACTAACGGTCAGGTTAATTTTGTAAGCGATACAAGATTTACTATTTAGGCAGGAGTAAAATAGTAGTGTTGTCTGCATAGATGCCTACTTGGGAACTGATCCACAATGCAATCTTCAAGTGGTGATTGAAAATTGCCACTTTTCAATCAGCAAATATGATTTATTAATATAAATATATTTATATATAAGAATATATATATATATATATAGAGAGAGAGAGATGTTTTTCCAGATCCTATTTTCTCTACACAGTAAGGTTTCGTACAGACTATTCTAACAACTTCACTTTATATATATATATATATATATATATATATATATATATATATATATGTATATATATATGTCCTTAAAAATGTCCTTATTTAATGATAATTTTATGCTATTATTTTATTAGATTTATTTCTTTACTGATTTGTTTATATTATTGTCATTAAAGTAATAATAAAATTATTATTACTACTATTTTATTAGATTTATTTAATAATAAATATCATTATTTAATAATAATATTTATAATTATTTATATATATATATATTTTGTATGTATGCATGTATGTTTGAGCACGTGCATGACAAGGCATTCCATTTATATATATATATATATATATATATATATATATATATATATATATATATATATATAGTGTCAAGACCAAACTTGTGACTATGAAGACATTCTTTGAATTCTGATGCCCGATTCTCTTATTTCAGAAGAAAGAAAATACAACCAAGTCAAATTGCGCTGACGCATGCTCAGTGACTAGCAATCCAAACGTCTTCCGACACAATATGCCCCTCGTTCTCGCTACATGACCTATGATGTACAGTCCTGAGATGTAGTCGGATTCGCCGACGTTTAGGCGGTTCCGTTAGCGACAGTAAAGCAAAGGGGAAAAAAATCTTTATTTATTTCGAAGTTAAATATCGCATTTCTGCTTATCTGCAAAGATATAAAAACAAAACAAAAAAAACCCCAAAATACTACGAATATCTTCAGTGGAGATTAACAGGTTATCATCACCTCGTATTTGGCTCACAAGAATAGTATAGAGGCAGAGGGGGAAAAGGCAAATATGGCTAATTAAGCAAAGACTGAACTAAATTCCCTTGCAAAATAAGAATGCTTACTTTAGTGTTTTTTAAGAGTACAAAAAAAAAGACACGTCATATATACACCCTTGTGAAAATTAATTATAGAGGAAGATATGGAGGGCCATGATCGCCTACACCCTTCTGCACATTAATTGAAACAAAACGAATAATTCCGTTATTATTTACATTCTTCGTATTTTCCCAATGAAACATGATCCAGTGCCCATGTTGGTACTTCGTATGTCCATTCCACGAAGTCGTTCCTTGCAGATTGACCACAGGTTAGATTTAAAGCAAGAGAGTTTCCGGGCCAGTCTATAGTACTTTGATTTGCTCACTGGTAAGGCTTGCCATTGCATTCGTGCAGCGTTATAATTTTCGTACGCTTCCTTGGAGTAACGTCCATCGCAGAAAATGGCCGTAGGACAACTAATCGACAGTCGAGACAATAGTGTATGGGCGTGATAAAAATCTGATGCAATCATGGCTGACGCAATATTTTTCAAGGCCAAACAAATTTCATCATACACCCCGAAAATAGATTCATATTACTGCACACCACTGCAAATGACCTAATCTGAGGAAAAAATAGACACCGATTACACCCTGTCACTCCAGTGGGTCTAAAACTGAATTTATACCGATAGAAATGAAACTGAAACGGTTGTTTCAATTACAAGGGTGTATATGACAATGGAAATGGTACAAAAAATATTCAGTGACCGAGTAGCCGGTACTGTACTTCGGTTGAAATTTATAAAATCTTTCTCTTCAAACAATAATTCAGAAAAATAAGTTTCTCAAGCCCACTAGCTGATATCTCTCTTTCCAATATTTATGTGGCTTTCCTTCCTAATCTATAATTTGAAGTAGTGCGGAATGTCAGCTTCAGGATTAAGTCATTATTTTCACTTTGAGTTAGATATGCTATCCATTTTAGTTGTTGCTGCTGTTGCTCATCTTCAAATGATCTGGTTTCTGTTATTTGGTAAAGTTCTTTGGGATCTCTAGCGCCAGTCCACAATGTTCGAAAAAGGGTGATCTTCGCCAACACACTCAGGCTTCACTCGATCGAAGCCATTTTTAATCATTGATCTTAGAAAGCGTTCTGAATATCAGACAATTTAGATTCAACATTAAAGAATGGTGAAAGTTGTAAAAAAAAAAAATTACGATTAAATCACGTCCTAAGTACTTTCGTCATAATGTATTATTTTCTCTTTTAATTAGAGTAGCATTTTTTATGTCGAAATTGTAGCCAGTCTCATTAAGGTGAGCAATTAAGGAGTTTAATAAGCTGTTTTTTTTAAATGTTTCTTTTGTGTTCGTATAATATTTTATTTAAACTTCTTGATCTATCTATCTATCTATCTATCTATCTATCTATCTATATATATATATATATATATATATATATATAGAGAGAGAGAGAGAGAGAGAGTGTGTCCCAAAATAATGTATACACTCTTTGAATCCTTATAACTTATTCAATTTATATTTTGACTTGTAAATAAGATTAATACAAGACAAAGAATACACATTTAAAGAATTTGAGAGTAAAATATACAAAAAACATCGAAAATTAACTTTAATAAGATAAAAGTTACTTGCGGCAATGGCCGAATGTTCATATAATGATGAGTTCACATCGAGCGATCAAAATGGTTGCCGTTCTGTTCAATACACATTTCATATCTTGAAGAAATAGACCTACAAACGTCCAGTATAATTTCCTCTGATATTTGAGCAAATTCTTCTTCAATTGCTACTCTCATTTCAGCAATTGTTTCAGGTTTCCTGCTGTAAACTTTGACTTTTAGAAACCCCTACAAAAAGAAATCCAAGGGTGTCAAATCTGGTGATCTAGGTGGGTATTCAACTGTTCCTCTACTTCCAATCCATCTGTTTTGCAGATTTTCATCTATATAAGTTCTCACATTATGCTAATGTATTATTAAGTATTAATATTTAAAGAGTGTATACATTTTTTGGGACGCCGTGTATATGATAAAGCTATATATATATATATATATATATATATATATATATATATATATATATATATATATATATATATATATATATCGAGTGTAACAGAAAATTGTCCAAATATCTTAACAGCACAATGATCCATCCTATAAAATGTTTAATATCTAGAAAACCACTAAACTAAATGAGTTCCTTTTTTTCAGGTTTTCAGACATTTAGCGTTTCCTGGCATAAATTTTTGTAAGAATCAACAAAAAACCATTTGGATTATTCGGCTAAAAAGAGAACCGGTTAAAATTGTTTTGTGTCAAACCCACTGTCTTTCTAATTGAGCAATGGTGGGCAGGAAAATTCATTCAGGTCTTCAGTAATGGTGCCAGCATTCATACTCTGGCTTCCAACTTCAAAGTTCATTCAAGATAAAGATTCAAGATTTGTCAAGAGAACGGTGAATAAGTTTAAAAAAAGAGGAAACTGTGGAGAGGAAAACTGGATCACGAGGTTACAACAGGAAGAGGGGTCATCATTTCAACTTAGAGCTGAAGAAAATTAGAAAAGATCCAACTCAATTCATAAGATATTTGAAACGCGAGAGAGGAGTTTCGGCTATGTCAGTTCAAAAAACAGTGAAAAATACTTGAAAATAAAATCGTACGTGAAACCTGTGAGGCACCCACCTTGTTACTCCAGGACAGAAAGTTAAAAATTTATAGAGGAATAAGTTTGAAAATGATCCTGGAATACCTGGAATATAATATATATATATATATATATATATATAAACTTGATACCATTTGTTGCAAGAACCACTGAAAAACCATTTGAGTTATTCAGCTAGAAAAAGATCAGGTTAAAATTGTTTTGTGTCAGCCCCCAACCTTGTCTTCTCAACTGGGCAATGGTGAGTGGAAAAATCATCCAGACTTTCAGTAATGGTACCAACATTCATACTCTGGCTTCCATCTTCAAAGTCCATTCAAAAACCATCACGATAATAGTGAATAAGTTTAAAAAAGAAGGAACAATAAAGAGGAAATCTGGATCAGGAGGTCACAACAGGAAGACGGATCATCATTTCAACTTAGAGCAAAACAGATCAATTAGAAAAGATCCAACTCAAT